CATGCGCCCACACAGTACTCAAGATATCGTAACCAGATATGAGTTCTCTTCAACTGGCTATGGCGACTGGGCGCCCACACAACTCACTGTTCGCACTCTGGATCACCCTGGATGTCGCACACACAACACTCAGTATCATACACAACACACACACATACTATGCTACAGCTATGGCAGCGCTAGCTGCCTCTACCCTATCGCTACACTACACTTCTCTGCCCACTTCGTCTTCGGGCACACTGCAGACCGCCTCGCACAAGCTGCTAAGGCAGCGCTTCCGCCTGGCATCCGCAGGAATGAATCAATGAATGGACGTAGCCTCTTGATTTATACTTCTGTGCTGCATTGGTCTGCCCTGTGTCCCTGGCCCATGGTGCACACAGTTCCCCCCGTGGTACTTGCTGGACCGGACTGGTACTTTCTAGACTCTCTCCAACATGGGCTTGCTTTAGTCACACCACTTGCCCACTTGCCTGCACCACTTGACCACTTGCCTGCACCACTTGACCACTTGCCTGCACCACTTGACCACTTGCCAACCTTCTGGAAGGACTGCAGCTAGCCTTCTAGTCTATAGGTCTACGGATCGAATCCTGGCTAGCTATAGACCTACGACAGACCTACCTACCACTGGCGGTTCTATAGGTCGCAGGTTCAACTCTTCGAGTTGACGCAGGTATTGTACACAGGTAAGTTGGGGAACTAGGGATCGAGCCCGGGGATCTACCTCAGCTACCACGAATTGGTGAATACCGTTTCACTAGTAGCGTTAGCAGTAGTCTTCAGCGCTGGGCGCTAGTAGGAGCTAGAGTAGTACTGGAGAGAGAGAGAGATTGGGCGAAGGGCAGGGAGACTTACCTGCAGAGCCATAGCTCCAGCTTTGTCTTCGAGGTACCTGCAGCACGACGCCATCTTCACAGGTTAGTACCTGGCACATGGGAGAGCGAGAGTTCTGCTTCTTCCTCTTCTGAGTCCACCATCTCCCTCTCACCCTCTTGCTACCTGACTTGACTGCATCAGCAGACTATGAGAGAGCGGGCTTGGTGACATTCGGATCCAGACTCGACATTGGGCTTCAGACAATTTGAACGAGGGATTATTTGGGACTTGTAACAAAGACTTGGTGTTAACAACAACCCATCTCTCCCCTTCTTCTTCGTCTGTTTCCCTCCTCGTCGTCTGTGCATGATCTGGACCTGGCGCGTTCTTCCTGTGTGAGGCGCCAGGCCCCTTCACACCTTGCGATGAGGATAATGTATGTTTGGTCTGCGTTGCGACATTGATTGGGCTCGTCATTGGTATTCTAGCATTCTGCTGTGCTGTCTTGCACTATGTGCTAGAGGTCAGTCCCGGTCAGGTCAGGACTTGTATCTAAGTCTTCCCCTGCGCTATAAAGCACCATGTTTGTATGTCTTAGGATGTACACTGCTTGTTGAGATTTCACTTGCACTGCATTGTCCATTCAGTCCTTTTTATCACATTGCGGATCCTCGGTTATTTATGGACATCGCCCAACCGGGCATGTAACACTATCCAGTGTAGTATCTGATCCGATCAGTTTCATAACTGATCCGTGGTCCATTGAGGCCTTCTAAAAAAAAATGCATGCGCGCGTGTGTGTGTGTGTGTGTGTGTGTGTGTG